GCCAAACTCTTTTTATAAGGCTTCAATAAACTTGAAACCCAAGGCACACAAAGACACAACCAAGAAAGTGAACTACAGACCAATACTCCTCATGAATATTGATTCAAAAATACTCAATAAAATACTGGCAAATCAAATCCAAGAACATATCAAAGAAATCATCCACTGTGATCAAGTAGGCTTCATCCCAGTGAATCAAGTGTGGTTCAACATATGAATATCCATCAATATAATCCACCATATAAACAGACTGAGAAAAAAACACATGATTGTCTCAGTATATGTGGAAAAAGCCTTTGACATAACCCAACATCCCTTCATGATAAAGTTCGTGGAGAGATCAGGAATAACAGGAAAATAACTTAACATAATAAAAGCAATAGACAGCAAGCCAACAGCCAACATCAAATTAAATGGAGAGAAACTCAATGCAATTTCTCAAAAATCAGGGACAAGAAGTATTGAACTTGAATTTCTACCTAGAGCAATAAGAAAACAAAAGGAGATCAAGGGGAAACAATTCAGAAAGGAAGACGTCAAACTTTCACTATTTGCAGATGATGTGATTGTCCACTTAAGTGACCTGAAGAATTCTACCAGGGAACTCCTACAGCTGATAAACACCTTCAGCAAAGTGGGAGGATACAAGATTAACTTAAAAACATCTGTAGCCTTAATATATACAGTGAAACATTTGTGGAGAAAGAAATCAGAGAAACATCACACTTTACAATTGTGACAAACAACATAAAATACCTTGTGGTAAGGCTAACCAAAAAAGTGAAAGACTCATACTCTAAGAATTTTGTGTCTGTAATGAAAGAAAATAAAGAAGATACCAGAAAATGGAAAGATCTCCCATGCTCTTAGATAGGTAGGATCAACATAGTAAAAATGGCAAACTTGCCAAAACCAATCTACAGATTCAATGCAATCCCCATCAAAATCTAAACACAATTCTTCACAGACATTGAAAGAACATTTCTGAACTATTTACAGAGAAACAAAAGACCCAGGTTAACCAAAACAACTCTGTACAAAAGAGGAACTTCTGGAGGCATCACCATCCATGACTTCAAGATGCAATACAGAGCTATAGTCCTACAAACAACTTGGTATTGGTATAAAAATAGACAGGTAGAACAATCGAATAGACTTGAAAACCCCAAATATCAACCCACACACATACAAACACTTGATTTTTGACAAAGAAGCTAAATTTATAAGATGGAGCAATGAAAGCATCTTCTACAAATGGTGCTGGCATAACTGGATACTGGAATGTAGAAGAATGCTGTTAGATCCATGTCTATTGCCATGTATAACACTTAAGTCCAAATGGATCAAAGACCTCAAAATAAATCAAGCCACACTGAACCTATTAGAAGACAAATTGGGAAATGCCCTTGAATTAATTGGTACAGGAGAATGCTTCCTGTACAATAAACCAGTAGCACAGACACTAAGATCAACAACTGATAAATGGGACTTGCTGAAACTGAGAAGCTTCTTTAAGGCTAATGACACAGTCAGTAAGACAAAACACAGGCCACAGACTGGAAAAAGTTATTCACCAACCCCACATCTGATAGAGGGCTGATTTCCAAAATATACAAAAAAAACTCCAAGAAGCGAGTCTACAAAATACCAAACAATCAAATTAAAAAGTGGGGTACAGAACTAAAGAGACAATTCTCAATAGAGGAATCTAAAATGGCTGAAAGGCACGTAAGAAAGTGCTCAACATCTTTAGCCATAAGGGAAATGCAAATCAAAACAACTCTGAGATACCATCTTACTCCAGTTAGAATGGATAAAATCAAAAACAGCAATGACAGTTTTTGCTGGAGAGGATATGGAGAAAGAGTAACACTCCTCCTTTGCAGTTGGTAGTGCCACCTTGTACAGCCAATTTGGAAATCAGTATGGTGACTCCCAGGAACATGGGAATCAATCTGCCACCAGATCCAGCAATTCCACTCTTAGGCATATACCCAAAAGAAGCACATTCATACAACAAGGATATCTGGTCAAAGATGTTCGTAGCAGCAATAGTTGTAATAGCCAGAACCTGAAAGCAACCTACATGCCCCTCAACTGAAAAATGGATAGAGAAACTGCAGTTCATTTACACAATGGAGTACTACTTAGCAGAAAAAAATAGAATCTTGAAATTTGCAGGAAAATGGATGGAAGTAGAAGAAACCATTCTGAGCAATGTAACCCAATCACAAAAAGACAAACTTGGTATGTACTCACTCATATGTGGATTTTAGGGAAAAAAGTAAAAGTATACCAGCCTACAATCCATACTGCCAGAGAAGATATTAAACAAGGAGGATACTAAGAAAGACTTACATGGTCCCCTGGATAAGAGGAAAGGGACACTATTTCCTGAGCAAATTGGGATCAAGGGAGGAGGGGGGGTGGGAGCTAGGCGAATGAGACAGGGAGAAGAGGAGTGTTGAGAAGGACACGAGGGAGCAACAAGTTGAGTTGGGGGAAGAATAGAAGAAAACAAGAAAGGAGATACCATAAGAGTGGGAGACATTTTAGGTTTACAGAAATCAGGCTCTACAGAAAGGTCTGGAGATCTACAAAGATGACACCAACTAGCAATTTAAGCAACAGAGGAGAGACTCCCTTAAATGCCCTCCCCTGATAATGAGATTGATGACTGTCTCATATGCCATTCTATAGTGTTCATCCAGCAGCTGGTGGAAGTAGAAGCAGATACCCACAGTTAAACCTTGGACTGAAATGAAATCCAGTTGCAGAGAAGAATGAGTGATAAGAAAGGGGTGCAGACCTGGCTGGAGAAACCCACAGAAAAAGCTGACCTGAACAACAGGGAACTCTTGTTCCCCAGACTGATAGCTGCGATAATTGCATGGGACTGATCAAGGCCCCAGGAACATGGGTTTCAGTAAGGAGACCTTGGAAATCTATGGGACTTCCTGTAGTAGTTCAATATTTATCCCTACTATAGGTGTGGATTTGGGAGCTCATTCCACATCCTCCCTGAGCCAAGACACATAGGGGTGGGCTTATGCCCTATCCCAAATGATATGATAGACTCTGATGACCTCCTATGGAAGGCCCCACTCTCCCTGGGGAGCAGAAAGGGTATGGGATAGGTAGGGTTTTGGTTGGGGGTGGTAAGGGAGGAAGAGGGAACTGGGATTGACACGAAAAACAATCTTGTTTCTAATTCAAATTTAAAAATTTAGAAAAAAGAATACAATAAGATGACAATAATAAAGTAATATATGGTAACATATAAGTTGGAAGCTACTTGATAAAAAAATACTTAGTGAATAAAATCAACCTTGTCCAAGACTGATAATGAATATGACCCCTGGAATCCAAATGAAGAATTGGATGTCTTTCATGGCTGGTGGCTTTATGTAAATTGAGAGTCTCCATCCCTTAATTTAGGTTTGGTCAACCTGAATAAAGACATGGATGTTGATAAACCCAATACCTTGAAAAAACATATCTTGATCCATTCTTGAACTTGAAGGATATTTGGGGATCCTGCTGGAAGAAGAAAACCCCCCAAGTCTTTAAACCTTTCCTTAGAATCAGATGAGGAATGTGACAAAGGGGCCAAAAACTTACCATCTTCATACTCAGGAAGTTTGTCAGCTTTATTGTCTATTTGTTGTCCCACTATCTATCTTTCAGCCTAGTATTTGTGTAAGTCCTAGTGCCACACATACATATACAAGAATTTAGTATGTGTCAATAAATTCCTGCTAGGAGGCTTTATTGTAGACTGTCAGTTTTCTACTCTTCTTCTTTCTTTTTTAAATGTCCCTTGAATTTTTAATTCTGTCATGAATCCAAATAGAGGCTATGATCTAGATCATCATGGATACTGAAATGTATTTTTACTAAATCAGAAGTAAGACCTTGTTTTTGGAAATGAGAAAAAGGAGGAACCTCCATAGACACTCAGTGCACTTCAAATCCAACTTTAACTGAATAATGATCTCAGAAGGTAGAGTCACCAAGAATAGCAGCTGAGGTATCTCAGGCTCACACTTCAGCTATGCTCAACATTTTATGCTATGATTTGTTCCACTGTGGGTGGATAACTCCAGTACTGTTGACAGTAATAAGTTCCAATATCTTCTGGCTCCAAACTGCTGGTGCTGAGTGTAAAATCTGTCCCAGACTCACTGCCACTGGACCTTGAGGGGACCCCAGGAGACCAACTGGATGCTTCATAGACTAGGAGCTTAGGAGATTGCCCTGGTTTTTGCTGATACCAACTTAATGTTCTGCTAAGTCTCTGACTGACTTGACAGTTGATGCTGACTGTGTCTTTTAGTGATACAGTCTGAGATGGAGACTGGGTCAACTGGATATCACAACTGGAACCTGGAATTAACCAGAGAAAACACAATAAAAACTATTCAACTCTGTCTTTATGGTCCCTTCATAGAATTCCCTGACAGCCAGGCAACACTGACCACACTGAGACAAGCACTGCTGTCCTCCATACCTGGGATCCAGAGCAGCAGCAGCCCCAGGAGATGAGCAGGAGCCCTCATGCCTATGCTGTGTTCTGAATAGGACTGTTCCTAGCACAGTATGTGACCAACCCATAAAGAAGTCCTCAGAACAGTGGAATGTTCTGTTGTATGCAAATCAGCAGGGTCTAGATTATGTGGGCACAGCTGCAGGGCTCTTTCTCCTCAGGAATTGACCCTGTATGAGCCTCTGGGCCTGTTCAGGGCACTGTGTCATTTTTCTGCAAAAAAAGGGTGTTTCTCTCTAGGACTCAGAGGAGAGACTGATGCTGCTTTGTTAAGACTAGATTATCTTTCGTTTATAAATGGTCAGTGGCATGTGTTTCTTTTAAACCTCACATTTTTGTCCATCTTTAACAAGGGCAATTCCTGAAATTTGAAGATATTTCAGAAGTCACCATCATTTGGTCATGTGCATTGTCTTGAGGCTAGGAAGATTTCTTTGGCCTGTTTCCCAGAATTTTGTGTTCTGGTTACCCTCCTATACCATCAATCCATGGTGCGAAAATACACAATAATATATATTGATAAACAAAAAGAGGGGAGGATGGGAGGGTGAGGAAATGGGGGTTGGATATGAAAATATGAACATAATTAAGGAATTTTTAAATTAATTTTTGATAGGATAAAAATAATTTTAAATTTAATATTAGATGAAAATATGTGAATAGATAATATATGTAAAGCTGTACTATATATAATCTTCCAGGTAGAGACTATCCATAAGATCATATGCCACCCTCCACTTAACTGTCTTCTAATAAATGGTATCTTTCCTGCTTTGTTTATTATTCTTTCCTACTCCTTTCCAATAAAAGAATAAGCATCAGGGGTTCTTGTTTAAAAATGTTTTTGTATATACTCAAATGTGACTTGCCTCAGTACTTAATGTATATCAAGTTCATGTTTTTGTGAGTGATGTGGCAGAGACAACAATTTGCAATTAAATTCCAGGCTAAGATGTCTTAATTATTCAAATCACAAATATTTCTGTGAATATTGTTAAAAAATATTTTCACACATAGTATAATTCTATACACTTTATCTGTGTTTTAAGATTTCCTTAACTAAAATATATATCTATTTTAAACCATGTTTCCTCCATAGATCTTTTTTTGTTTATTCTGTGGTGTAAGAAATGAAATGGGGCCTAGAGAGATGGCTCAGTGGTTAAGAACACTGATTGTTCTTCAGAGAACCTGTGTTCAATTCCCAGAACCCACATGGCAGCTCATGCCTGTCTTTAACTGTAAAGTTTGATACTCTCACACAGACATACATGCAGACAAGACACCAATGCATATAGAATAAAATATATTTTTTCAAATAAGATAATTAAGCAGAGATGTTTCAGGTCTCATGACGAAAATATACTCTCTTAAATCAGTACACATTCAATAAAGACTCACTGACAATAAACACAAACCTTTTACTAAATATATTACTGCAACAAAAAAAATATTCCAAAGAGAAAGTCTTCAAGAATGCTAAATCCAAGCCACTCTGTGTATGACTATGGTTGAGTTTCACACTCTGCCCCTGTTCTCACTATGCTCAGAGAACCTTCAACCATGATATACATATGTATCATGTATATTTCATAGATATCCATATACCCCTGGGGTCACACATTCCTTGTCACATGCAGTGTTCAGTTTTCATGTCCAGTCAGGAATTCATGTTTTATGTCTTCTGATGAATCTTTGTTTCTAAAGGTAAGTACTGGAACAATTTTGGCCTTTACCTAATAATTTGTCAGTTGTATGACTGTTGTCTTGCTTATTTGCTCCACACCTTGAACATTTCGATGTTCATATTATCGTCACTAAACTATCACAAACCTAAAATATATGGGCTCAATGTTGGTAAAGGCATACACTAACAAGCCTGATGACCAGAGCTTGATCCAAAAATCAACCTGGTGGATGGAGAGGTCAAATTTCACAGAAAGTAATGATATCCATGTGTCTACAAGTGATGATATATTGTTTATAATCTTATAAAGCCACTGAAGATCAGAATACAAATCAATCACACTAGAAATCAATAGAAGGTGGGCAGGGGTATCACACACCTTTAATCCCAAGACTCAGGAGACAGAGGCAGATGGATCTCTGTGAGTCGAGGACACCCAGGGAAACATGAGAGTGAATCTTTCTAAAGTGAAACAGAGCTCAAGAATTTAACCTCAGCACTAGAGAGGTATATGAGAGGGAGCCCATGGTCTCATGCAGGATTTAGTCACTAATCAGTCTCAGAGCAATTAGTGCACTCTGCCACGACACATTGAGGATAGGAACCCGTTCCTTGCTAGAGGTGAATGCTCTCTGGTGGCTTGGTTGCTTTGCTTCTCTGGTCTTCAAGTTGAACTCCAATATCTATTCTGGGTTTTTATTATACATGTTCCATCTATATGTACCCACAGATACAAATAAATAAATCAGTACATGTACTAAATTTTCCTTAAACCTAGAACATAAAGACTACTTATGTAACAATCACAACTCTATACAGTTGTTCTTTAATAAAAATTCAATAGTCATCAATATGAAACATTATACACAGATCTGAAGATAAGAATCATAGCTAAATGCTAAGGAGTAACAGGACTGAGTGGCATGATTAATATGAGATTATCTCACATTTTTCTTCCACATGTAATATTCCCATTATTATTCTTTCTATGACATATGCTCACATTCACAGTTACAATTGTGTGCAGTGTCTGGCTAACTCTGACTCAGTAACATAAATACCACCTCAAAGCACGTATTTGTTCTGCCTATTGTTTTGATTCAGAGGTTGCTCCTAAATATATGATTGATATGTTATATTGATTCATATGTTATAAATTATTAGATTTTGATATTCAAACACCTTTCTTGTTTCTTGTGCCAAATCTCATCGGTTTAAACTTTTGTCATCTTTGCAGAATTAACATTAAGGATAATAGAATATATAATAGAATATATATATCATACCAGTGGTAGGGTATGGATTTGGAACTCTTAGGAATTAAATTTTATTTTAGCTTTCCCCACTAATATTTTCTCATTATAAATTGTTTTATTTATATACAAGGACAAATATATGGTGAAAGGAAAGTATTTTAGAGTAAAAATTCACAGCAATAATATAAACAAAACAAAAAACAACTTTTATTTAATTGTAAAAGAAATTTTCTGGAAAATATCCACTCCCTGCCACTAGATTCTCTCATGTGAAGCGTGCTTTGATATTTTACCTTGGTCCTCACTATGGTCTACACTTCCTGTGCTAGTTAGTTTTGACATAAATAATGCAGTACATGGGGCATCTCAGCTGTTGTATATAAACCTGAAGTCAGGTGAATCCTTCCCCCAGAATGAATTTTGCTGTTCAAGACAACATATTGGGAGAGGCTTTTAGGCTCATCAGAAAACAATGAATTAGCAGGGTCACCACCTTCTACAGGATCATGACCAAGCTGCTTTCAGAGAAGTGAGTTGACACCTTAGAGATGTTCTTCCTTACTAAATGGATCAGTAACCTAAGATTGTAATCAGTAATCTTTTCTAGCATTATAAAAATGTCTGTCCTGCTGCAGACAATTAATTAGAAAAACATGTATCCATGGTGACCACTGCTGGATAATCAGTTCATTTTCCAAGATTTCCAGAAAACTGTGTCCTTTTATTTTTATTTGGTGTTCACAATCCTTTTCCAGGTTAGGTAGTCTTAGGTTGTACTCCATTTTCTGTATTTTCTGCTTTTAGTTTTCTGTATTGAATTCCTGCCCTGACTTACCTCAGTGATGGAATATAAACCATATGGTAAATAAAGCCTTAGCACTCCAAGTTGATGCTCTGGGTTTTCATTTTCATTAAATGGCATAGATGTGAGTTGAGCAAATAGAGGAGGGCCAGAGGACACTTAGGTTGCAGTGCTGGATGGGGAGTAAGGTAAGTTAAGTGCTGCCCTGTGGGTGGGGTTTTCCTGTGTTCCAGTAGTTGCTTCCACATAACAATATTAATCAGTGTTTAGCTGATAGCTTGGGTTTATTTTTAACTTACACCTTAAATTAAACCATTTCTTTTCATCTATGTTTTGCGCGGAGGACCATGGCATTTACCACTCTGGCATGTCTTATTCATCCTCCTCATCCCAAATATTCCCAGAGCTGACACTCCTCTATCAGCTGATGCCACCCCACTGACTCATTCACCCTAGTTTTTCTGTGGCATGTGAACAAATGGGCCACAGTTAAGTTTGACACCCTCAATAGCCCCACTATTCTGGAACCATTTGTTTCCTTTAAATACATTCATGTCCACTGAATTTAAAGTGATTTTGATCACACATTTCAGAAAAAAAGATTCTCCCACTAGGTGTTTGTGGACACAAAGTCTTAATTGGAGGTCACCAATGGTTCTTCCCTCAAAGCTTAGGGAATCAGAAGGAAGAGAGAATGGAAAGATTTTAGAAATCCCAGGAGATAGGGTACTCCAGGAAAACACAGGACACTGAATGAACTAAGGCAGGCTCGTATGGGCTCACAGAATGAAGCAGTAAGAAGGCAGCCTGTGTGGTTCTGCACCAGGTCCTCTATGTACAGATTATGGTTAATTTGGTGTGATATGGGAACTGCCAACACTTCGAGTGGGATGTCTATGATGCTTTGGACTATTCCTGAGACTGGTTTCCTCCTTTGGATTAACTCATCCAGCCTTAATAAGAGACCTTTTACCTTGTCTTCCTACACACATTTTGTGTTGTGTTTGGCTGTTATCTCTTGGAAGTCTGCTCCTATCTGGAAGAAAATGAAGGCAATGGATATGGGGAAGTGGTAGCCTGTTTAGGAGTGGGGGATTATTAAAAGGGAGGGAAAGTGTGGTCATGATAAATTGTATGAGAAAACTTAGTTTCAATAACTAATAAAGCAAGAAAAGAAGTTATAAATGAAAAACTAAAATTAAAAAATTAAAGTGAAAGTTAGTACAGAATGCCTGCAAAATTGAAGCTAAGAATCTTTGCTGAAACTA